GTGAATTTCCAACTCATCCCAAGACATTAAGAGTGCCTCATTTCCTTACATTCTGCCAGGGAAACAGGTTCACAGTTTAAACTACTAGAGCTGCTTAATAAATTAATTAAAAATATCTATTAAATTCAGGAGATGCAAAAAAGATACTCCAGGTCTTTATTAAATCAGGAGACATTCTAGAGGAATGTTATTGCAAGCAAGAACATATGCTTACTTACCTGGAAGTTTTCTGTTATCTTGAGCCCTTTTCCCCCTCCAAATCAAACCAGGCTTCAGAAGAGTCTCTTGAAAGAGCTACTGGAAAAAAAATAGAAATCATCATTCTTTATGTGGTCAATAAAGTGAAAAAAAATAGAAATCATCATTCTTTATGTGGTCAATAAAGTCATTGCAGAGAGCAGACACACAAACAAAAGTGAAATTCCCACAGAATGTCCCTTTCAACTGAAAGCAAGCTCAGACAAAGAACACTGTGTGGGCAGGAAAATTGGCTTTTTAAGGTCCTTACAGAAGGAGAAGTATAAAAAAGATATAATTTGTGCTTGAACTTTTTCACCATTTCTCCTGCACCTCCAAGGGGTGTTGGCCTCAGGACTCACATGCCAGGGATAGTGACAGAAAAATCAGCACAATACTGAGGAGCAGATTTTGGCCAGTAAAACCTGCAGGAACATCAGCAAAAAAACAGAGGCCAAATTGCAGCCCAATTATTATTGGGCTAATTATTATTAAAATGTTTTATTTTGGGGTCCCATTCCACCTATCAGCACTTCTAAAGCCCTTCAAAGGCTGCACCTTGGGCAGTGCAAGAGCCTGGCCAGGGCTCACGAGTTTCACACTTTTGTAAGAACTGCCTGACACTTTATCTGAAGCTCAGAGCTAGGAACCAAGGCAGTGCAGAACCCCAAGGGCTGGACCTAAAAATGGTCACAAAATGCACGAGTGGTCACGAGGTCTCACAATTTTATGAGTTTAGGTCCGTCTGTATATGTTAATTGCCAATCACTGGCAAATTGCAACGTTAATTGTCCAATTACAGCTTCAGCTTGTGAAGTCCCATCCTTGTTTTTTCTTTTCAGCCCACATTGTTTCTGCTTTGGGGCCTGAAGCTTGTAAGGGTTGTCCTTACAGCCTAGAAAAGGAATTTTTCTTGTGCCCACTCTGTGAAGGGAGCTCACTGACACTTCATATGAAGCTCAAAACTCCACACCTAGGAGTAACATGAAAGAAAAAACTCCAGGTATGAGCCAGAGCTGCCCAGGTGAGCCCTGCTGCAGCAGACAGGGGTGAGAGCTGCAGCCAGGCTCTGCACTGACCCAGCTGCCAGCCAGGACCACGGGGCAGAGAGAACCAGCATCCCTGAAATCATGGCACAGCCAGAGAGCCACAGCATCAATTCCCTCTCAACTCCCAGAAAAACACAGTTTTGTCATGTTTTACAGAAGCCTCACTTGACAAACCTGCTGTGCACACCTGCACTTTTATGGCAGCTTTATTCCACCTGCTGAACACCTGCAGGACTATTTGTGCCTGAAAGCTCCATAGTAGCAGGGCCAAGGAGACCTTCAAAAAAATTAAAATATCACTAAACTAATCCAAATTTATGTGAACACTCACTAAGTAGAATTGAATTGATTCCAAAACATACTATTAATAGTTCACAAATCAAATATTTGCAACAGGCAAGCTTTCAACATCTGAATTTTAGTTTAGGAAGTGCTGTGTCCAAAATGAAAAATCCAGCACAATGTCCATACTCAAAAGGTGTCCACATGAAAAACAAAAAGTCTCAGAATTCTGTTTATCATTCTGCTCTTTTGAATATATCTACTTTACACAATTTACAATTGTTTTATACAACTTGTATAATTCCATATATATTAGGAGCAATATAATCTTTAGAATCCAGGTATACACCAGCTTTTAAAAGTGTGAAAGCAGCAAATTTTCCCATGAATATATATTTTATTTATATAAACAAGCATTTCATGGTACCCAACAACATCTGGTGTAAAACATGCTTCATTTTGATGGAGGAAAGTGTGTGTTTACCCTATTAAACCCCTAAAACCACGCTGCAAAATGGGATTCAGCTTGTCCACAGATGCTGATGAGGAAAGGGGCTTTGTTTGGAGCCAACAGAAAGCTGCAGCTTTGACCTCCAACTCCCAGGCACTGCAGACCTCTAAAGTTAATTTCTCATTCTACCAGTGCTTGATGCACATATTCCCAATAGAAAATAAAACATGAGGCTTTTTAAGGATACTACTGGAGTAGTCATGCACAGCTCTTAGGTCAGAGGTAACTGCAATCTGAATTATACCGAGTTAAGCTGCTAAAGGAGACAGATGGTGAATTCTAAAGGTGAGGATTTAAATTCCTAAAATCATTCATCACCAACAAGCTGTAAAAAAAAAGTGAACTACAGCATGTTTTAGTAAAATCTTACCACCAGCTCAGCAGACAAAGTTTGCATGAATGCTCCTCAGTGATGCACACACACATTCACATCAGGTGGGCAGGGACTGGAAAATCAATTCCTGCTCGTTGCACAGATATTTGATGAGTCTCCCAATACCCCAAACATGGATCAGATTGCATTGCTTGATGTTGTAAAGATATTTCTTCTCTCCTGGATGTCAGGTGGCATTATTGATTGCATTTACCCATTCTTACAGAAGTGCTTCCATCCACCCGTGCCACTGGAGCTCCAGTCTGCACTTATGGATCTCTAAAAGATACAAATCAATGCTTCTGTCATGGCAATGGGCAAGTGACTGAAAAGTAAATAAAGCTGATTGTTAGCTCTAACGAGATTTAATGGCACACACTTAACTTCCACGTGGGGTTACGATGAGCTTGAGAGAATAACAGTTTTCCTTTTTTGATTCTCATATCTAATCACTTCAGGTAATGAAACGGAACGATTTGGTCACCTGTGACAGTCAGCAGAGGTGTAAGAGCTGCTGATCCTCTGCTGGGCCCAAAGGCTGGTGTTTCTCACATGCCAAGCCCTGCAGGGCACACAGGTGAGCTCAGCCAGGGCAGATCCAGCACAATTCCCCTCCCAGGGACTCTCCCACCTTGCTGCCCTCCTGCACTCCAGCCTGGCTCAATCACCTCCCAAGCAGATGGCTGCTGCTGGTAACTGGATAAATTACAGCCAGCAGCGAGCAGGAAGCTTGGCATCACTGCCACAGTGAAAAACTGCATCTTCAGGAAACAACACTTATAACTTTACACCAAAAACTGCATCTTCAGGAAACAACATTTATAACCTTACACCAAAAACTGCATCTTCAGGAAACAACATTATATATAACTTTACACCAAGAACTGCATCTTCAGGAAACAACATTTATAACTTTACACCAAAAACTGCATCTTCAGAAAACAACATTTATAACTTTACACCAAGAACTGCATCTTCAGGAAACACCATTTATAACTTTACACCAAAAACTGCATCTTCAGAAAACAACATTATATATAACTTTACACCAAAAACTGCATCTTCAGAAAACAACATTATACATAACTTTACACCAAAAACTGCATCTTCAGGAAACAACATTTATAACTTTACACCAAAAACTGCATCTTCAGAAAACAACATTTATAACTTTGCACCAAAAACTGCATCTTCAGGAAACATTATATATAACTTTACACCATGTCTAAAAAAAAAAACCAGCACCCTAAATTTTTGGGGCTTGCTTTACAAAGCAAGCTAACAGTTTCCTTTCTTATGCCTGAAGCTTTGCAATCACTCTGTTTCTGAACTCTATTTTTTTCATTAGTCTTATTTTTTTCATTAGTCTTATGCTTCCAAATATAATCTATTATTTGGCAGCAAAGGCAGCAAAACATTTGTTGCCTCTCAGTACAGCTGCAACCAATTGGATTTTAAAAAATGGTATTGGCTATCCAGCAGCCCCTCTGTCATGTTGATTTTTCCATGGAAACAGTGTTATATTTTTTTCCTCTGGGGGGGTGGGTGGTGCTGGAAGAGGATGCAGAAATGCATTTCCAGTGTTCTCTGCTTTCCCAGTTCTCATCCCTCCATCACACCAGCCACAGGGACTGGACCAGACTCCCCAGCTGCACCCTGGGGGTTTAAAACTTCTTTAAAGCATATTTGTATAAAACAATCTTTTGTCTTTTCATTCTTGGGTGTGCCAGAGTAAAAAAAAAGTCCAAACTATGTCATTGTACCCAAAGAGGACACTTGAGACATCTCAGAGCTGCCCAGCCACCTGGTGCCTGTGGCCTTAAAACTGTAATTCCTGAACACACTGGATACCTGCAATGCCAAGGGCATGTTTTAGTTTAAATTAAGATCTTACTGTCAGGTATAATAAGTAAAAATGTAAATAAAGTGATTAAAAATGAAAATAAACTAGAAATCCAGAAGTGCAGGTAGCAGATGAGGGGACAAGCCCTCACCTGAGCCCAGCTGAGGCATTAGCAGGGCTGGGGGCAGGGGAGGTGGGAATTCCTCCCTTCCAGAATTGCAGTTTACCTCTGCAAAACACGAGGAGAACAACAAAACCGTGGAGAGGAACAAGCACATTGATTGAGCCAAGTGTTTCAGAGCTGTAGGACTCATTCATCAAATACAAAAGCTGACTTCTGTTTTAAGGCTACATTAGGAAGGGGAACAAGAAAACCCCCACAAAACCACAGGAGCTGCAATCACTGCTGATCCCACAAGTGTGGAACACATCAGGAATGCTCTTGTGGGTCTTGGGCCTCTCAGGGAAATATTGACTCTACAAACTCACCAGGTTTCTCAGAATTTTGTGAGGTTTCCTAGACATAAAGCAAATATATTCAAATGAGTTCCATGATTTATGTAGGATGTGGGAGAGACACTGTGATGCTAAATGAAATTGTATTCTGCTGCTCCAGAATCCAGCCCAGTAACTGTCATTGATCCTTTTGCTTGGCTTCATCAATATTTAAGCTACTCAATTTTGACAAACATTTCATAATGTAGTTTCTGGTAATTGTTCTCCTTATCTATAATAAATTTTCATATATATTAAGTTTAATGAGCTATCCAAAGTACTCCCACCAGCTCAAAAACACTAACACAAGCAGGATTTGACAATATAATTATTTATCAGTCCATGGGATAAAGAATTAAAAATGCATATGGATGAAATGTGTGTTATCATTTTGAGGATTTATAGACAAAAGGAAGTTAAAATAAATAATTAGAACAATACAAAAGAACAGACACAGATCAGAGAAAATACTCTCAGGGCATCAATGAGTAATTTATCAAAATAGCACATAATAAATGAAACTCTGGCATAAGGGTGCCAGAGCAGTCTCTCTCCTAAATTCATAACCAGTGCAAGTCTGCAAGGCATTTATGAGGAGACAAATCCCCCTGGGCCTTCCCCCTCATCTGTGTCCCACAAAGCCAAAACAAGTTTTTGCTGCTGTCATCTTCTGGTAGCACTGAAAGTCCACAGACACTTTCTTGTGAAAGCAGACAAATTCCCTAAATTTCAACCAGCTGGGGCAGGACAAGCAGGATGAAGCCATCAGTCTGGCATTAAGGCAACTAAAATTCATCTTAGCTTGACAAGGTGTATCAGTCACTCCCCAGTGACTTCTCAATCAAGGCAACTGAAGGAGTATTTAAAAAAAAATCATCCAAACCAACGCAGCACTCCAGATATAGTTATTTTAGTGGCTGCCCCTGTGAAAAGAAGCCTATAACAACATCTTTAAAGTCACTTTGAGGAGCAGGAGCTGATGTCAGATTTGATCTTTGCTGGAGCAAGGGTGACTCCCAGCAGGTGCCTCACCACCAAGCCTTGGCACAGCTCTGCTGGCTCCAGACGGATCCCATGGCTGGCTTAAAGCTTAAAAGTGTGGAAACCCACAAGGTGGAATTCATCATCTCCATCATCATCCTACTTTGGAATAGAATGTCAAGGCCTGCAGGGCTTTCTTTGCCTTCCACTTCCCAGCAGTGTGACAGAACCACAGGACAGGTTTCACTAAAATGAAGTTACTCTGCAGTTTGACAACTTCACACAGTTAAGAAAACACAATTACAACCTCTTCCCTGTTCCCTTCTCTCCAATTGCCATTTTTTGGTAGCTTTGTGTCATGAAGTATTTCTCAATAATCATTGTCTAACTTGCACTATTCAAATCACTCTGCTTTTTGACCTTGTTTCACTCTCCACAGTAGAAACACTTTAATTCTGATAATCACGCTGTGTTTAGATTCTGAAGTGACAGAACTCAAACAGCAATCAGATCCTCACAGAGTTTTTGAAAATACTTCTTATTTCCCAATGACTTGCCCTGCTTTGCTTGCAGTGCCCATCCCTCACCCCTCCCCAGCACACAGAGCTCCTGTGCCCATCTCCCAGGACAGCACTGGGTGCCCAACAAGGTGACAGTGCCCAGGCACTGCCCCAGCTTGTCAAGGTCATAAATAAATGTCACTCAACACTAGCCAGCACTTCTTTGTTGTTCCAGGCCCTCCAAAATAAATCAAACCCGCCCCACATGCAGTTTCTACAGAAAACCAGCACCTCCAACATCCTCATTTTTAGACTAGTCCAATACAGAAATCCCTTGTGGCTCTCACTGCTGACACTTGGTTTGCAATCTCAGCTTGGCATTTATGGAGTAACAAGTTCCTGTTGTTCACTTACACTTTATTTTACATCCTCAGGGTTGATTTAATAGAAGCAAATCCAAAGCAGAATCTGCCTACTGTGCAAATTTGCCTGACATAACAGAATCACAGAATGGCTTGGCTTGGAAAGGACCTTAAAGATCATCTTGTTACCTACAAAAATCAACATAAAACAAGGTAATAAAGCTCATGTTTACACAGCCACCAGTCCTGTACTCTTTATTATTACAGGCTGCTTTGCCTTCAAGTTTTCTCCTACACAAATACTTGAACAGGGATTAGAAAATGAAATTCAGCCATATCAGACAAAATAACATCCTGACTCTGATCTTCCTGCAAAGCCCTGGATGTTCTGGAGAGCTCCACACTGCCCAGCAGGAAAAGTAATTCTCAGAACATTTATACCAAATAACAGCTGCTTAAATAAACAAGGATAAATGTGGGTTCCAAGTAAAATCTCCTCTATTGGTATCTTATTATTGGCACATCTGTGGGGCAATTCTGAAGAAATGTTATTTTAGAAACATAGTTTAGCTATAGAAAGATCCATTTAAATTACAATTAAAATTCTCTTAGAGCAGTTCAAGGACCACAGTAACCACCATTAATTCCTACATTTTTTCTAGACTGTTGCATGAAAGTTCACCTAAGTGTTATTGAACTTGAGGTAAAATAGCAGTAATAATAAACCTTATTTCACTAGGGGGAAAAAATCATTTTTGATAGAGCAGCAACTTAGAGAAATTTAAGCTACTCGTTGCTGCAAGCAATCACATGAATATATTCAAGCACATGATCTGTCTTCGTTGTGTAATAAGCTCCACAGAGATTGTTATTAGTCACAGATAATAATTCCCACTGTTACAGAAAATCTGTGCTCAAAATAGTACCTCCCAAGGAAAAAAAATTCATTGCAAAGGCAATAAAGCTTGGTATGACAATCCTCAAGTTGGGGAATTGGGAAGGAAAACTGAGAGCTTGCACAAAATCATCTGTCATTTCAGGAAAAGCAGCAAAGCAATCAGACCTTCTAAATTATGCTGCAGATAACATGCTACAGGAGGGGGAAAATACCTCTTGTGAACTACAAAAAAATGAGTATATTTACCTTTT